TTGATGAAATAACATATTCTTATGTCTTTATGTTTGTAGGTACATGACCATGCAATCTATTTGCTGGAAATGAGAGTTTTGTGGCTAAATATCACACATCTGCTCTAAAAATTCACCTTACGTAGCTCCTTATTTCAAAAATGGAAAGCTGAAAATAGATTTAAGTCAGGAGAAAGGAAACCTGCAATTCCTTGGGCATTCTGAGTAACCGTATGAGCTGTAATTGAAAACTCCCTCATGCAATGTGACCTTGTTTGAATTAATTGGTTTTGGAATCAGTGCTCAGTAGTTCAGCAAATGTGGAATTCTCTGAAGTTTACTCATCGCCAAGCAGAGTCCTACTGGCTGAGAAAAGTAGAATGGACAAAAGACAGTTCCCCACTTCTCACCTTTTTCAGTGGACTCTTTAGTAAACATGAATTTAGTAGAGCTACCTACTATAAATTAAAGGAGGTGTATATATAATTGATCTGACCAGTTTGCATTATGCTACATTTTCTAGAAAAATTAAGTCACTGTAATACAGTGTACTGGCCACTTAAGGCATGTAACTATACCCCCTGAAATCAGCAGTGCTTCATGCTAAGTTTCTCTCAAGATTGGCTGGAAATCCCTGAAGTGGGAGAAGTGATCTCGGACTGACACTTAACATAGGACAGAAATCCAGGATGCCTTTATGTACTGTGACCTAATCCCCATTGTGCTGAAGTCCATAGTTAGGTGGAGATTTTTTGTCATTAATTAATTCATCAAATACAGTTCTAGCCAAAAAAAAAAAACTTGGGTTAGAGGAAGATGTGAAGTAGTTTTAATAAACTGAAAATTATGTTCCCTTTTATTCATCAGCCTAAAAGCTGAAGAACTTAACTGAGGCCACTCAGTCAGTACTTGTTGCTAGAGAAGGATTCTGTAACTCTGACTGGAGTGCTTCAGTTCCTCCTTACAGGATATTTAGTCTTTACTGTTTAAGCTGTTTTGGTTTGCATATAAAAGTAATATTCACTGGGCAGATATTCCACCTGATGGGTGAGTGTCCTGAGCAGTGGGCTAGAGCAGCACTGTCTCAATAAAGGTGAAAGTGATTTTTACAATGTATATGTACAATGTAATGCCATCAGGAGAAACTGAGTGTGTCTCCCCACACATGAACAGATGATAATCCAGTGTTCAGGTTATCCTGGATGGCCAAAGGTGAAAACACCAAATTACTCTCTGTCTCAGAGAAGGGATTTTAATATGTTCTTCTGCTTCACAACAGATCATCCTAACTGCTACCTCCAGTATCACTGCAATACAGTAAGTATTTCTGCATTTGCAGTAAAACCAAACAAGAACAGCAGGAAAAAAACCTGTGAGGAAACATCCTGAAATATTCTGTAACATATGGAATAAGTCATATACAGGACTGTCTCTACATATAGGACATGAAACAAAAATCAGTTGGCCTCCTCAGGCAAAGGGGGAACAAGGGAGAGAGTGGTTAGTATCTTCCAAACCTTCTTGTTGGTTATGCTTTCACCGTACGATCCAGTGTGGTACTGGAATTACTTTTCAGTAAGACAACCTAGGTGTTGCAGGAGGGATAAGGCGTGTAAGCAGCACTGCTCCCAGCCCAGTGCACTCTGTTTCCCAACACAGCCAGGGCTCACTACGCACCACGCTGCTGACGACACAGCCCCGATGATGCCTCGGGTAGCTCGTGTACCTCCTGCAGCACTCTCCTGCACTACCCAAACGTTACCAGGGAGGAGCCTTCCAAGCTGGCCACGCGGCATATATATGCACAGATGTACTTAGACAATAGGGAACCAAGCTGGTACTGCCTGGAAAAGTGACCCAGGTTTTATGAACTCTTCCTGAAAAGTGAAGCATTGCTTGCAAGAGTAGCAAAGACATAAGGCAGTAGTAGTTAGGATGACTGCTGCACTCCGTGACTTCCCATTCAGGAAATTACATGTTGTCTGTGATGGAGGGACAAGGTGGGAAGCGGCAGCAGCTGGAGCTCTATTTTCTCAGCTGTGCATCTGACAGCTGCGATGGGATACAGTTCAGAGACAGAAGGCATGCGCTGTCATTCAGGGCTTTTAACATCAAGCGTTTTTTACTGGGTTCATTATCTCTTTACAAAATGAAACGGGATGGCTAGAAATGCCCAAACCACAATGAAATACGAGTCTTAGCAGGGGTCACACAGAGTTCAGGTCTAGCTTACAGAGTGCCAGGAACGCTGGCTGCCTCCTCTCCATTGTCACTTGTCTCATTCATTTACACATGGGGCAACAGGTAGTGCCCTATGCCTTCTTACACAGTCTCCATCAGAGGTATAGAAGCCTGGTTCCACAAATAATTAAACCAGGTGGGTCCATGCAAAAGTTACGTGTTCATTAGTACCACAAATACTACCAACGAACCATCGGGCTTTCTTTGTAAAGTTGTATACATTCAAGAAGAGCTAGTTACTCGTCATTAGTTTTTCATCTACTAGAAAACCCTGGAAACAGAGTCCATTAATAATGTTCCACATAGTATTCATTATGGTTGCAACCTTCCTACCTTCTGAAAGCTGTTAATGCATCTAGGAACATTTAAGGAAACTGCATGCTGTAAATATATATTCCATATTTTTGTAATTTAATTCATAGATCAAATATTAAGTTTTTTATTTTAGATTGACAATTTTAGTTACATGAATTAATTTTTAGCTAAGCCTGTGTGTTATGATTTAATTACTTTATATCGACAAGAGGCGGTCATGACCTATATCACTAAAATTTCAAGTAATAATTAAATTGCAATGCCTGTTAATTTTCTAAGAAATTGCTTTGGTTTCTTTGCCAAGAAGAGTTTGTTACATCAGAAGCAGGAAAGGAATTAATGTAGTGTAATTTTCCTAAGAATTCTAATGATTGAATTGGAACTGAAGGCTGATGTGAAACTTCGACCTTTTTGACATTTATTTGAATGAAGCCCATATAAATGTCAAATATCTGCCAACACCATTTTCATATTTCAGGCAACTGCTTCTTTTACAATTTTCAGAGAGGGCTGGAGAAGTAAGATTTTTTTTTTTTTTTTTTTAATTGTAGTAATAATAGGAAATGGAGCATCTCCCTCCAAAGTGACAGGGACTGAAGAGAGAAATATGGAAGAATTACCCCCAGGGTTTTAAAAATGAGAACTTATTTGGCAACTGAAATTTTCAATTAGTAGTGAATCACATAATCCTTAATCTTCTTGTAAATTAGATAAATATTTGTAATTTAAATATTTACTTTATATAGACACTGAAGACAAACTTCCTTACTGATAGAGAGACAATATTTTGAACACAGAATCACACTCAGAACTGTATACAGTCCATATGTTTGGAAACAGTTTTGGCTAAGGAAATCATCTCAAATAACCTTTTTTCTCCACAATGTCAGTATCACCTCATCACAACAAAGTAGAAAAATTACATATTTGGGCAAGAAAATTAATTCTGATTAATTTCTGAAATAAGGGAGAATACATATGTGAAACAAAGATTAAAATTTTCAAAACCACTGTATTTAACCAGAAGACTGCTAATCAATGCAAAAGATTTTTCATAAGTATGAAAACTCTGGGATTCAAATATATTTAATATCCAATCTGGTTATTTTCCCAAACATATATTATTCAGCTTTGTTGCTCAAGAGAAAATAAATTCCTTTCACTGAGAATTTTTCTCTTATCTGACATACAGACGCAAGACATCTTAGGTTAAAACCAATCAACCTGGTAACCAAAGTAATTCTGAAAGTATTCCAATTCAGTACCTGGAGTCAGACACCAAATTAGATACTTAGTTGTGTCTTTCGCCATGGAAGTTTTCTTCATAATAACCACACAGTACTATATGATATAGATGAAAATTAGTCTCTGGAGTAGCAATAAAATCTTATTTTGTATCATGATAGCATCTCTATTAAACAAAGGACAGAAACATCCCTAGAGGTGGCACTGTAAGCCACAATTTCTGGTTTTACATGAAGTTATATATAGCAATTAAAATACTATGCTTAAGATAAAATAACATTTTGTGCTACTTCTGGAATGCAAATTTATGTTATTCAACCTTAGCTTACTTCCTTTCTAAGTTCCTACTGTTCTGTTATACAACAGATGTGTCAGGCAAATAATTAAAAAAGTATTTCTGCATGATACATTTTGAGCTCTATTTTTACCTTCTGTAGATGGGTGGCCTGCATTGCAATTTAATAGTATGTGGCAAGGACAATATCATAATTAGGAACTGACGTTAACATAGCTGGAAATATAAAAGTGAATTTGGATCACTTAACAAACAATATGTATTTGTAATAGATTTAATTTTAATTATTTAACTGCTATCTGTGAAATCTTTTCTCTACCAATACTAAACACTAATCTAAAATGAATAAAGCTATCATCTTTTCTAAGCAATTAGTAAGAGAAAAGAAAGTTGCTAGAAGAATGTTGAAAGATCCTAAAAGTGAATGGTATAGCAATGAATGATAATTGTTACTGATGAGTAATAGCAGATGTGTGAAGCTTGTCATAATGTTTATGATTCAGATCAAAATATTTAAAATCTTGCTTTTCTTTTTCTTTTAGTACTTTAAGGACCTAAATTAATATCAGTGCAACTGATCTGATTAAGAAGACCAATTACTTGATAGATAAAAATACCTAAATGTCTAACAGTATCTAAACAATACCGTTTGCACTTTCATTTTTATATGTTCACCTGGATAACTGCATGTATGGGAAATGGAGGTCAAAAATCCAGGTCCATTGTATTATGCTCGCAGGATTCTCCCCAGAAGGAGCTTATTCCAAGCTGTAGCCACAACGGTACAATATTATAAACCTAAGAATACTGGTATCAAATATTATCACTACACAGGGAAATTGTTTCCAGTGTCAAACATCCTTTTACAAAATAAGATAACATATTTTTTACATGCAGAACAGTGGGTCAGTGTAGATTTGCTTACCTGTGGTTGACCTGATAGTTGAGGTGATGTTGGAAGATGCCATCGCAGGTATACATTCATCATCTTGGGAATAGCCTGCCTGAATGGCACGCAAGTAACTGTGGCTTCTTGTTCGGAAACATCCAGGGAGGTCAAGGGCATCCATTGCCTGAGCTTCAACTTCACTAAACACTGATTCACACACCGATTCAAATTGCCCATTAACCTCTGCTTCACTCATCTGAATAAACAACAACAAGGCATTTGATTTTTGACTTGCTTTTTTGTGATCATCACGGCCTCAACATCTCAAATGGACACCTGTACATTGATGAAGAACTGTTTTAGCAAATAGTTAAAATGTAGTAATCCCTTCTGATCACATTCACATTTTTTTAACTTACATCAGCTGTTTATATGTATATAGTAAGTACATCACACATGCCATACATTTAATTTTACATTTAATGTCTTTTTGCATATCCAGAGGATTATAAATACATGATTAAATGGTAACTAACAAGATCACTCTGTGCTGATAGAAATCTGTGTTCTGCCAGGATAGGAGAACAGAAATCAGCTATGCTAATATTAGCCCTCAAAAGGTGAGGAGGTGAGGGTGGATTGCTTGGATTCCTCACTTATCAGCAAAGTTATTACTCATATGAACATTTAGCCTGTGTGGCAGGTTGTTATCTTCCTCTCACTATGAAGGGGCTCAAGGAAGTATCTCATACTTGAAGATGTGTAAGTTCAGAGGAGGTGATGTTTCTGAAAGGTTTGAGAAATATAGCCTCTAGAGTTGTGTCCAGTGAAGCATGTGAAAGAACCATTGTCTGAAATAATAGAGTGAAAAGTGGTCAGAGAGCAAGTAATGCTTGGCCCGCCTTTAGCTGAGGAGGGCCCTAAACCAAGTTAATTCCCTGGTTAACTGGGTCAGCCATTCAACTACTGTGGAAAAACGAGACACAGCCACTACTGCTGCCTCTTCTTCAGCAGCATTGTTTTAAGTCTGATACTTCTGCCGCGGGGTGTGCTGAGGAACCCTTCCTGTCAGAGCACCCTAGCTGTGCCTACCTGCATCACCTCCCAGGTTGTCCCCTTAGAGATTTTGGCACCACCCTCCAGCTCCCTGCGGGGCTTGGGCAGGAGCCAGCATCTACCTACTGTCCCTGCCCTGCAGGTTGGGCATGATGCAAAACTGTGCATTTTTAGGCAGCTTTCATGATAAACAGGGTTTAGTCAGGCTGGTCAGGCTTAGGGATTCTCTCAGTCGGGAACTGCATTTTGCAGTTTTGAAGATGATTCTTTGAAGCCTAAATTCTACCTGCATCATTTTTATCAGGTTCTCTGAAGTCAGCCCTAACTACCTGTGAATCTATGTAAATAAATCAAAACTATGTTTATCCAAAATTAGATAGGAAGTTAACATTGGACAGATAAATGCATGACCTCCTGATACATCCTCCTGATAATATTTTTTTTAAGAAGAGAGTGCAAGAAATCAGAACAAATGTAAATACCAAGTTAAATTTGTTGTGTCACTAAACAGCACATCCAGTTGATACCATTTTTTCTATATGGCTGCTAAGTGCATTTTTCATTATTACTGTTCCTAGTACATTATTAATTGTGGAAACAGAGTGAGTGCAAGTGTTTCAAATGTTTTAGGATTTTTATTAAGTAAATGGAATTTTCATATGGAACTTCTGATGATAATGAATAACTGATGTTTTAATTTCATGTAAGACATTTTGGCTACTACATCTCTTCTGAAAGGAATTACATTACCCTTCATAAAATTTGCTTTTAATAAAGTTGACTAATGTAATCTCAAAAAGATTAAAAAAAAAATCTCTGAAATATTTTACATACATCATTGATCAGGAAATTTATCGTAATGTAGTCCATAAACACTTTAAGCTCTAACCACTTCTTTCAAACTAAGGTCACTGACAATAGAAAAATAAAAGTTTTAAAACTTAAATTAAAAATATAAACCTTGGAACCCAGCATCTTTCTTGACTCTACCTTGGTAAAGAGTGAAAAAGAAAGGATCTCACAAAAAAAAAAAAAAGGCATTAAAAATACCACAAATCATATAAACTGCTATTATGTAGATGGAACAAGAAGATGATGGTTTAATGGAAAAAGAACAGGAAACAGCAAAAGTTCAGAACTTGTTATTTTAATACATTTACTTTGTGTAATATCTATTAAATGCATTTATTACTGGTCTGGAAACCGCTGGACTGTGAGGTAGGAAGTGTGTGGTTGACACAAAATAAAGTGTAGACTGAAAAAGAAAGTAAGGAAATATATCCAGCAGGTTTAGTTAATCTGACCAATTGAGCAGTCTAACTGCAAATGAAATCTATTGTGGACATCTTTCCAGGTAATGCACACTGGAATGAAGAATTTTAACCACTGCTGAAACCAATTAGTCATTATGGACAGCTGAGTGAACACCTCTGTGCACAAGCATGGTCAAAGAGGCAGAATAGTTCTGTATTACAACATTGATAGGTGACAGCCAACAGCACTTGCTTTGAATGCAGGATCTAATTCTTGTGAAGCTTTCTCAAAACCAGAGTGTAATAAAAATAGAAAATAACCAAAGCAGGGTAATGAACGCCAAGGCATGAGGATGATGAGGACAGGATTCACAAGGGAGATATGAAAAATAATGAAGGGTTTGGAAAATGACTGACTGTCTATTTCTCATTCTGATGGGTGCTATACAAGATTATACTTAGATTTATCCCAAATAAATTAAGGAATCTTCCTGAAGGGCATTAGTCAGGCGACCAGTCCCTCCCAACTCTCTACAGTCAGCAGAGACTGACAAGCATTTCCAGAGGGCTCTCAGCCCACTTGGGATGTGCATTGTCTTGGAAGAAACTCTTTCATTCCATTAAACACAGAAGAAGCTTTAGTTGTTGCCTCAGTTAAAAACCTCAAGTTAGATAAGCTGAATCCAGGCCTGAATAGCCATGCAATGCAAATTGAATGTGAACGAATATAAAATTGTTTAAAAAAAGATTTTTTTCAATAACCATTGTGCATAATCAGCTACTATACCCTTAGGTGCCTCACTAAATGGTCAAAGAAAAATAAAGTAATACATGTCTGAGAAGAGGGCAGGGCCTACCTGTTGTGAAGCAACACAGTGAAGAAATGTCAGGACCAATGAACATTAGAAGCATTGGAAATTTTACATAAAGTCCTCTGCTAAACAGAACATGCACATACTTCATAAGGCTTCTTGCACTTCAGGCCTAATTCAGATCTCACTTCAACATGAATTAGTACTAACTAACCAACATAAATCTATCAGGGTGGAAAAATGTCTCTTTTCAGAAGTCCCCATACATAGAATAATTCTTGGGACTTATTATTTCACCCAAGAAGAACGAGGGATTGAGTTTAGAGATGAATCACTGCTTCTTTGGAGCATAATTATTTCAATCTATATCTTAATTTGGCAACCCACATTTATTGAAATCTGAGTAGATATTTTCACAGGATGAGTACTGTAGGAGTGTGCCCCTTGTGCTCAGTCTGAATCTTAACATTTAAATATTTAATATAGATGGAAAATGAAAATACCGGTATTTATATTTTTAATGAAATATAAATGGAAAATATTATGCGTGACAGTGTCCCTTTGCTTCTAGTAATCAGTATTTTTCTTGAAATTTTGAACAAGGGTTACATTCCTTAGAACTGAATTACTTTGACAAATCACATCCTTACTTTGATATTAATTAAAAAAAAAAAAAAAAAAACTAAAACCATCCACTAGTAACAACTCTCACATCTGTGATTAACCTATAAGAAAAGTTATAACAAGAATTTCCCACCTGACTAACACAGCTGGCCTGACTGAGCGTGCTCACTGCTCTCATATAGCTCTGATTCCTTGAGCGAAACTTTGGGGAATTGTAGTTTGCAGAGGGATCCAGGTTGTGACCCCCAGGCACGTCACTTGCAGTTTGAAGGTAGCTCTGACTACAAAGGAAAGAGGAAGAAAAAAGGAAAGGGTGTAAAACTACAGATGGAATCAATTAGGACACTAAAGACAGTAATTTATATGAGACTCACAAATCCATTCCCCAGGGACCAAATGTCTCTCTGTATAAAGTATCATAGATCTGTTGTAGACAAACGCCTTAGCACGAGCAGAGAATCTGTCTGCAGTTCTGCTACCTAGATGACATGAAATTTTAAGTCTTTGTTGTATTTAAACATCATTAATCCTCCTGGCTATTAATGTTGAACTTTACTAAAAGAGAATGTCTAGGTCAACAGGAATAAGAACCAGAGCTAAAGCACAAACCAAAATAACTAAAAATCTTTCTTCATAGATAAAATCTGCTACTTGTCATCTGGTTTTCATCAGGGTGTTAGGCATCAAGAGACCTTTTATCTTCAAAAGATTGATATATTTTTACAAAAGATCAAAATATCCCATGTTCAGCTAAAAAAATAGATTAATAAGGTACTTAGAGCAACTGCATGAAGCTCCAGAAATTCTCTTCTTACAGCACATCTCCCAGTTTGGAGAACTGGGATCTTAACACCACACTGAGCCATTTTCAGTATGCTTTCACTAGAAGGGTATGTTAGTCTTCATGTTTTATGTTAAATATATTGATTATCTATCATTCCAGGAAAATAAATAAGCCTAAGAAAAGAGCAGTACTTTGCTTTTAATACAAAACTAAAAAAAAAAAAAAAAAAAAAATTAAAGTAGCAAACAAGGTTTACCAGCCTCCTCAGAACCTCCGAAAATCAGATTTTAGAAGTCATGTGACACTCATCCCCAAACATCAGTGCATAAATTAATTAATATTTCAGAAAATGTTGGGGGTTGTGTGGTAAACAGGCAGTTTTTAAATGTATTCCTTAAAGGTAGCTTTAACAAAAACACATTTTATGTGAACAATAGATTTGTGCCAGTTGAACATCTGTCAATATTGGCAATACAGTCATTTCAAGCTGAGCTGGCAGAGTCACTCAGTCCATCCGTGGCTGTGACACATGCCCAGGCTGTTGGGAATTTCCCTGTGAAGGAGGAAACTTCCCCTCTGGAAGGACCAGACCACTTAGTGAATGAGAAAGCCATACGCTCAACTCCTGGTGCAAAAAGGAGGCACAAACCAGGATCTTGTTTCTTAGTCCATTTTTATGAACTGCTGAGTGTGACCATATGCTGGTGGTTGAGGAAGGACTCATCCTTCCTCACTGAGTGGACACAATGTGAGTTTGAGTTTGAGTTGGATGCAATCCATGAGGAGCACTTGGGGAGGAATCTCAGATCTTTTATCATGGCTCTGTCTGGAGCAGCAAATAGTGTTGAGCTCCATCTCGCTGTGTGGCCATGTCCTTTGATGTCAGACATGGGATGACCTAGGGTCCCCTTACACCAGCAGCTGCAAGAGCAGATGGGATTTATAGACCATCCCAACCTTATACTTGAGAGATCTGTTCTCAAGCACTTCCATGTGTTCTCCCTGACTTGGTCAGCTCGGGGTCAACATAGATGTAGCCTTGCTTCCTCTGTGCATGTCCCAATAGCTGGGCTATCTGATCCTCTAAGACACACTGCCACCTTCCTCTTCAGTAAAAAAGGACAGGTTTTGTTTTCATCTTGGCACAAGACAGGCATTTTTTTGAATTCTTAAGAAATTTCCCTGGAGAAACCCCATTTTTTAGTTCCTGTCTTTATTCAGTGATTTGTATAGAATACCTCTGTAACCTCATGACAGAGGTAAGCTATGTAGAAACTATGCTGTATCTGCTAAAACCAAAATGAAAATGTATGAGATTGATGCAGGAATGTGATCTGAGGTTAATTAAGTCATTACAGTCAAAGTGATTTGAAGATTAAGATAGCTGTCCGATAGTGGGTCTAATATGGCCCTAGTTGATGAAAACAACAACTGTAGCAGCATTTTTTTGTTCCCAGAGGTATGAATACAAATATAATAGATTAGGCAAAGTGGTGTAGAGCCTCCCTATCTATACTTAGTTGCTGGATGTAACTAAACCTCCTTTCCTCTATAACCAGCAGGTTGGTAACTGTCACCTGCTTTGTGTTATTCAGTTTCTCTGCATATGCTTTACTACATTTGTCTGGTATTGTTAATTTAATATTTTTTTCAAAACAGTTAGATGAGCCCCCTCTGGACCTTCTGCTTGTCCTCAGGTGGCAAAATCTGGGATTCTGAGTTCAGAAACAGCTTGTGAAAGATACATCTGAGGTTTCTTCATTAAAATATGGGTCACATTAAGAAAAGACAGAAGTAATAGAATTAAATTATAAATTATTAATTATTTTATAAACTACTTAAAATGTAATTAATTTAAACTGGCTCCTAATAACCATCTCTTTTGCTAATTAATGCTCAACAACTTAGTATTTCATGATGCACATAAGAGTTCCTCATGAGGTATTGCTATCAACAATTTCTACAGCAATAATTTCTTAGGGAAAGAAGCCCAGTATTCCATAGTAACTGCTAAGCAGCTGAGTTTTGATGGATGAGTTTGGACATTACCTAAGATATTATCAGAGCAGAGCAATTGATTCATAGGACTATAGCAAAATAAAAAAAACATGTTAAATATATTGGGCTGCAAAAGCAATTTCACATCTATTTGGTTAATACTTTGAAATTTTCCTAATAAAAAGAAATGTTTAGTTTTCATTTCTAAGATATACGCTCAAAGTTATTTTCTAGGATAAATGTGTCAGTGTGTGGTAAAAAAGGTGACCTTGCTATAAACATGATCCAGAACCAAAATGACATAGAACCAAAAGTTTTGAGGGGAAGTTGTTCTCAAATGTCATTATCTGTTGCTCAAGGAACTTTCATGATTGTCAAGAACTCTACAAAATACAAACCACATGTGGCATTGGTAAATGCTGGCTTTTTAACAACATCCACTCTATCTATAAGCTTCGAAACAAAATTCTTGACCTTCATTTCCAACCACAGCTTTATCACTTTGATAAAAGAAATTTTTTTTTTTTATGCTCTGTAGTAGATGATCTTATATCTCAGCTGATCACTGAAGAAGGGCAAGACAAGCATGAGTACATGAGATGGTTTCATCTCCAGGACCACAAAAAAATTACGCACATTGACATCAAGAAGGTGACTCTAAAGTTCAGTATTGTGGAAAAGGTACTGTAAAGGAAGAGGATGAGAGTAATAGGAAAAATTAAATCACTATGTCAGTTTTCTTCACATTTGATTTTCCAAAGAGACAAAATCTTAAGAGTGGATTCCCCTTGAAAAGCTTTTTTGCCCTCAAGGGTTGCTTTCCCTTACCCATTAGCTTCAGAGAAACTCCAGGGCAGCTAGGAAGAGGTCTTAAATTTAAGGAGAAGTATCTTAGCTGCAAGCAAGACTCAAAGCCTAGAGAAACTTTTGAGTATAAGGCAGTCCCCTGTAATGACCTTGCAGCTCCTGAGAACCCCTACTCTAAAAGCAAAGCTTTAGGATTCCCAGTGAAGGCAGCTAAATTTGCAACAGCACTTTCAGCACTCAGCAGATTGCCTGAATGTATTCAGGGAGGGCAATATACTGTATCATAACCACATAAGGTGAGCTATAGCACAACATGCTTATCTGGGACAGTATATCTGATAGCATATCTGATGGCATGTCACCCTGATAGACAATGAATGGGAAGGAGGTTATGCTGCATATTCCAACAGCAAAAGATAGACAAAGAATAAGGGAGAAGACAGCAATCCAAAACAGAGTTCCTGCTTAGCAGTTTCTAAGTCTTGCATTGCAGCCTCCCTTTTCCTGCATTTCTCTAGTCCGCAAAAACTCAGGCCTCTGTATCCAAACCTCATATTCCCTGCTGCTCCTATGTGAAAGCTGTCCCTTCCTCCAGCCCCAGAACTCTCACTTTACCAAAACCCCCCAAGTACAGGTATACTTCATTCTTGGCCAACCCAGACCTTAATCCTTACTACTCCTCTTAATTCTCTGCTCGTGGTTGTCCTGCTCAAGATCCTCTAAAACATCATCACAGAAGCCAGAATTGGGCCACTTACACTACTTCTGTCCTTCTCAGATTTCAAAAGTACCCTTAACACCTCTATCTGTCAGCAGAGTCCAGCTCACCCCTGCTACAGCCATCTAATCCTACTCCATCACTGGGGACATTGGCTTCCATAAAAGCACAAACTCTTTTCCTTCTTGTACAATCTAACTGTTCTTGCCCACAATTCACCAAGAATTAATTTAAGAGTGGAATGGGGGAAAATAACTGATGGAAAATATCTGTTACTGTAGCTCTACAAGGAACAAGATACGTAAAAAAAAAAAAAAAAAGTCTTTCCTCTCTTGACTCCAGAAAATAAATTTCCTTCTGTGTTTTGCCATGTCTTTTGGCTGTCCTTAATAGGACTCAGTACAATAAAAATGTTGGAAGAAGTTTAAGTTTACTTATATTGTAATCAAAAGGCATTAGATAATGTTTGTCAAGAGATTTCAGGAGACTGAAAAGCACATCTACATCTCCTTATCTTTTCCCCACTTATGCCATTGTAACAGAAGACTTGTAAAGCTATTTAGAACATGTTTTAATGAAAGGAACAATCATGTAAGCTAATCCAATAGCTGCAATCAAGCATTAACTGATGATAAGGGAAGGACTCTTATATCCCCATCTTTAGACATCTATTACTTAGGCATCTATTTCCTTCTCTATTTACTGTGTATTTTTAAAAGGAATAAGATGCTTACTTTACTTTATAAACAGTAAATAGTTAACTTTTTTTTTTTTTTTTTTTTCCCCTGCATTGCATTGTTTTATATAACTTTTGGAAAATTTATATGACCATGGATAGTGTCTGAAGCAGTTCAATGACTTTGGCATATGGTGCTGGGGGGTTTGAGGCATTCGCGCTGTGGTCTGTACCACAGCACCTTGCTCCACTCACTTGAATTCTATTGCTTTGTGCACAATTCAGCCCATGTTTTGTC